AAACCTCCGCAGCTCTCTCAGCACCCGGCACTCCCCCCTCTTCCCCCTCCCGCAGCGGAGCCCAAAGGGACCCCTAGCCCCCCCAAAAATAAGAGGGAAAACAGCAAGGCGCCCATTATTTCAGCAACGTGCCGGTTCTAATCCTGCCAAGAGATTATAGGAAGAAAGAACAAAAAAACACCCCCCAAATAATACAAAAATAAAACCACCAAACAAGTAGCGACAAGCACGGAGCAGCCCCAGCACACAGTGTAAACAGAAGCTGCCCCGATCCGGAGTCCAGCTCTCCCGGAAAGCAACGGCACAACATGCTCTGTACACCCCGAAAGGTCCCTGCAGCGCTGAGCGGCGAAGGGGGAGGTTGTGGTTTGAAGCTCGAGTCGATTGTTCTGTTGTTGTTGTTGTTGTTGTTGTTGCCTTTATGGAAAAGGTTGAAGTGATCTCGGAGTCTTTGAGCGGCGTCTGCAGCACCGAGCCTGGCCCAGGCAGGGAAAGGGATGGGGGAAAAGTGCTATGGGAAGAGGTGGGTTTGGGGTACGGGGACCCCCCCGAGACCGGTGGGAGGAGGTCTCGGGGTTTTGCAGCTGGGCAATCTGGACAAGGGAAGGGTGAGAGCAAACAAATACCAAAAAAATATAGATATAAAACCAACTTGGGTGGAGGAGGAGAATATGGACAGTAAAGGCAGGGTTACTGTCGTCTTCCCCAACGCAAGAATAATAATAATAATAATAATAATTAAAAAAATCTCAGTTGAGGTGACAGTGAAGAGTCCCACAGAATTCCCTTCCCTGGGGGAAAATGAAAATACAAATGAGGTACCTGTTCCACCCCAAAGCCATCACCCCCTCCCACAGTCCCATCAACGCTCCAGCCACTGGTTATTGTCTCTCTGAAATAAAATATTTGGGGCCAGGGCAGCCCGGAGCAGAAGCACCACGGGCACGGCTGGGCCACGGCGCGCTCTCGGCGCCGGGAGCCCTTGTCCAGTTCCTCCCAGTTGGGTTGTTCAGCAGAGATCCAGTCTCTCCTTGCCCCTGCAAACAGGCGGTATTGTTCAGTGCTCCACGGAGACGGAGCTTTTCCAGGTCTCACGTGTTTCTCCAGCTTTTTTGTTTTTTTTTTTTTTTAAAAAAAAAAAAAATTATATATATATATTATATACAGTACAATGAAAAATATCCATGGAAACGAATGGGGTGGCTGGAAAAGATGCTTAACAAAAAAGCCCAAAATAAAACAAAATTCCCAACTCTTCCCCAAACTGACGCTCGCTTTTCCCGCTAGTCCTCCAAGACCACAATCTCCACGTTATGGACCTGGTGCTGGTGGTCCTCCACGTCTCCCACCACTTTCTCCTCAGTCCTCAGCTCCGTCTCCAGGATCACAGCTTTGCCCTCCGACTCGTCCGTGTCCGCTTCGGGATCCGGCGCCGGGTCGATCTCTATGATGGTCTGCCCGTCGTCCGAGGTGCCCTCCACGGCTTGGATGGTGGAAGTCAGGCCGGACTCCATGGCCACCA